TAGTCTTTTAGATCAGGCTGCTCTCGAACTTAGAGGTCCACCTGTCTCTGCCCCCCGAGTGCTGGGATTAAAGGTGTAGGCCACCACCACCCGGTTTATTTTGTTTTTGAAATCGTCTCCCTTCAAGTCTTTGCGGCGCGTCTGGAAGTAGTTGTGTTGACCAGGCTGACCCCAGACTGCTCTGGCTTCTGAGTGAGTGCTGAGATCACAGTAGCATGTGGGACTGTGCCCATTCTGCGAATTGGGTTGTGAACATCAAGAAGTGGGAAGGTGTTGCTTGTTGGTTGCTGCTTTTTTTGGTGTTTTCGAGACAGGGTTTTTCTGTAGCCCTTACTGTTGGCCTCAAACTAGGATATCCACCTGCCTCTGTCTCCCGAGTGCTGGGATTAAAGGTGCGTGTCATCACGCCCAGCTGGTGCTGCTGCTTGTTAATGTGAGCTACAGGAGAATCGGCTTTGGGAAGTGGGGTAGAGTCGAAGGGATGGTCTTTCTGGGGAGCATGCTGGTCACCCAGGGCCATCTTATGGACCCTGAGGAATAAGTTGTGTTTTTCCTTTAGTGGTCCTTTATCTCCTCAGGATTTGACCTCCGCTCTAACTAAGAAGATCACACTGAAGACCCCACTGGTTTCCTCACCTATGGACACTGTCACAGAGGCTGGAATGGCCATTGCAATGGCGGTGAGCCTAGAGGGTCATGGGAGGACAAGGCAGGATGCCATCTCTGCCAAATGTTGTGCCTGGTATTCACCGCTTACTGACTTGAATGTTCATCTTGTAGCTTACAGGAGGTATTGGTTTCATCCACCACAACTGTACACCTGAATTCCAGGCCAATGAAGTTCGGAAAGTGAAGGTCAGAACGGCAAGGATCGTGGCCAGAATCTCCTGGGAATTACACAGAGGTGGGGTGGGGTGGGGTGGAGTGGAGGATTTGTTCTGCTAAGGGTCCTTTCTTCCCACTGCCGGGATCAGTTTCTGAGAAGAAAGGGCCAAGACCCTGTTTCTTAAGCTAGTGCCCGTGTTTCCAGCCCACCCTGTCCTTATTAGAAGGATTGGTTTAGTTCTGGGCACTGCCATGCAGGACACTTAGGCATGGACCTTATGCTTTAGACCAGGAGTTGATGAAACTGAAGCCAAAGATGCAATGACCTTCTCACTGTCTCTTCCAGAAATATGAACAGGGATTCATCACTGATCCTGTGGTCCTTAGTCCCAAGGATCGGGTGCGGGATGTGTTTGAAGCCAAAGCCAGGCATGGCTTCTGTGGTATTCCCATCACAGACACAGGCCGGATGGGGAGTCGATTGGTGGGCATCATTTCTTCAAGAGATATTGATTTTCTCAAGGAGGAAGAGCATGACCGTTTCTTGGAGGAGGTATGTGCCAATAACATACAACAACCAAGGTCTAACAACTCAGCCTGAAGAAAGCCAGCTTCTTTTTTACCTGTGTGAATTACTGATGGCCTCATTTTCTGGCCACAAAAAAAAAAAAAAACACCCTGAGCTGGGTGTTGGTGGCACACGCCTTTAATCCCAGCACTCGGGAGGCAGAGGCAGGTGGATCTCTGTGAGTTCGAGGCCATCCTGGTCTACACACCGAGTTCCAGGACAGCCACCAAACAATACAGAGAAACCCTGTCTCAGAAAAAAAAAATCACCCTGCCATGTTTCTTCATGATGTTTCTACATCCCTTCTACCTATAGGGACTCTGACAAAATACCTGCTATGTGCGCTGGCATTCATGCTTCATTTTTTTCCTATGCTTAAAGAGGGGGCTAGTTCTTCTTACAGAGGGGGCTAGTTCTTCTGAAAGAAGGGGCTAGTTCTTCTTAAAGAGGGGGCTAGTTCTTCTTAAAGAGGGGCTAGTTCTTCTTAAAGAGGGGGCTAGTTCTTCTTACAGAGGGGGCTAGTTCTTCTTACAGAGGGGGCTAGTTCTTCTTACAGAGGTCTAGTTCTTCAGGGCCTTTCTGGTTCTCTTTGCTCATATGTGCTCTTTTCCTTCTCTATGAGAGGCTTCTCCCTGTACCTTGTTCTTAGTTAAGTTTCTCTAATTTGAATGGTATAATGGCTATGATCCTTGGCTGATGTTGCCAGTGGGGAAGGGAGGCTCCTGGTTTGACTCTTCTGTCCTCATGACTCATCTAGATCATGACGAAGCGGGAGGACTTGGTGGTAGCCCCTGCAGGTGTCACCTTGAAGGAGGCAAATGAAATTCTGCAGCGCAGTAAAAAGGGTAAGAGTCCTGAAGGTGGGAATGGGCATGGAATCATTCAGGGTCCTGATTCACATCTGGCTTGTCTTCAGGAAAGTTGCCCATTGTGAATGAAAATGATGAGCTGGTAGCCATCATTGCCCGGACAGACCTGAAGAAGAATCGTGATTACCCACTGGCTTCCAAAGATGCCAAAAAGCAGCTACTATGTGGGGCAGCCATTGGTACTCATGAGGATGACAAGTATAGGCTGGACTTACTGGCCCTTGCTGGCGTGGATGTAGTGGTTTTGGTAAGCTACAACATTTAAACAGGATGGGACTGTAGGGGGTGATTGCCATGTCATGATGTAGCTAGAACTTCTTCCTGTCCTAGGACTCTTCCCAGGGAAACTCCATTTTCCAAATCAATATGATCAAATACATGAAGGAGAAGTACCCCAATCTCCAAGTCATTGGAGGCAATGGTAAGAATACAGCACTGGTGGGTAAGGGTTTTTGTGCTGTTACACTGGGGCCCTCACTATCTATCTATCCTGTCTGTTTCACTGTAGTGGTCACTGCTGCTCAAGCCAAGAACCTCATAGATGCGGGTGTGGATGCTCTGAGAGTTGGCATGGGGTGTGGTTCTATCTGCATTACTCAGGAAGGTAAAAATATGCTCTGATTGGGTCCAATGGCTCTCAGGGGAACTTGAGTTCAACATGGGCAATTCTAGGGCCAAATGGGCCTTTTGGATGGGTGACATGGCTGGAAGCAAGACAAGTTCTTGTCACCATCACCTGCCACTCTGCCTAGCCTGGCCTCGCTCCTGCTCTGTGCCCTCTCTAAACTCTGGTCTGTTTGTTTTATTTAGCGGCTCCCAAGATCCCACCAGACATAAAGTCCCACAGCCCCAAATGCCCTTCTACTGTCACGGGCTGCTATAGTAAGTCCGGCCCGGCGCACTGGCCCGGCCAGCTGCCCACTGCCCGGCTGCTTGGTTGACTGTAGCTGTAGCTCCCAGGGTTTGTGGTGCTGTTGGGTGGGCAGGGAAAACAGATGTACAGACCATGGTTTGGGGGCTGCTTGAGATCACAGCTCCTTCCTAGGGTGCTCATAGAGCAGGACCTCCTTCCTGAGGTAGGCCCTGCTCTGCCCACATTCTCTGCGGTAGGCGTGGCTCAACAGCCCATTCTTGAGCCTGCTCTCTTCTCCATTACCTCTGCCCCGATCTTGCCTGAGCTGCCCACTATGCAGGAAGGCCTAGGCCTGACTTGGTGCCTCTGAATACTAACTGCACGGTATTCTTTGCCCATCTATCTGATCTCAGCTGAACGGGGCTTCCAGGCTGCTGTAAATAAACTGCATGTGCCTGAGGCTGCATTGGGCCCTGCGCACGTGCACTGGGCAGAGGCAAAGCCATCCCAGCTATTTACTCTTCAAGGCAGATGAGTCGCAGCCATCCCAGACACTTCTCTTGCAGCTACTGACCTGGTATAGGTGTCGTCCAGGGCTCTGGGTCCTGTAAGTGGCCCCTTGTATCCCATCCCAACACCACACCTCCTCCTCTTGTCCCATCTCAACAGTGTTGGCCTGTGGGCGGCCCCAAGCAACAGCAGTGTACAAGGTCTCTGAGTACGCTCGGCGCTTCGGCGTTCCTGTCATTGCTGATGGAGGAATCCAAAATGTGGGTCATATTGCCAAAGCTTTAGCTCTTGGAGCTTCTACAGGTGAGGCCTAGTCCTGAGGGCCAGGTGGTGTCCCCTTTCTGTACTGCTCAGATTCCGCCCTAGCTCACTTATCTGTCCACAGTCATGATGGGCTCCCTCTTGGCTGCTACCACCGAGGCCCCTGGTGAGTACTTCTTCTCAGATGGCATCCGGCTAAAAAAGTACCGAGGTATGGGTTCTCTTGATGCCATGGACAAGCATCTCAGCAGCCAGAACCGCTATTTCAGGTAGGACAGACAAACAAGCCGCCCCACCAAACCCCTGCACTTAGTCTCATCCGTGGGGTAATTTTGCCTGTTTGCCTATTCCAACAGTGAAGCTGACAAAATCAAAGTGGCGCAAGGAGTTTCAGGAGCTGTGCAGGACAAAGGGTCTATCCACAAGTTTGTCCCTTACTTGATTGCTGGCATCCAGCATTCCTGTCAGGACATTGGTGCCAAGAGTTTAACCCAAGTCCGGTGAGCTTGGGTCGCTGGGGCGGGAATAGAGGGGGTGGGTGGTACAGGTCAGCTACTACTGTCTACGTCTAATGCCTGCCTTTCTGCAGAGCCATGATGTACTCTGGGGAACTGAAATTTGAGAAGAGAACATCCTCAGCCCAGGTGGAAGGTGGCGTCCACAGCCTTCATTCGTAAGTAGCCTTGTATGTGGGTGGGAGTTTCTGCCAGCCTCAGACCACCTCCTTCCTGCCCTGAACTCACAGATGCTCTCTGCCTACAGGTATGAGAAGCGGCTTTTCTGAAAAGAGGTCCAGTATATGCCTTGAATTTTTCAATAAAAGTTTTGGAAAAAAAAAGACACCTGATCTTTGAGTTCAGTAGGTACATGTAACTTTGCACCAACCACACCACAGATGGCAAAAGTACAGTCCTCGTTCTGTCAGCTCTGGCAAGTGCCAGGTTAGTTCTAGCTCTAAAGAAGTCAGGACAGCTATTGAGGTCTCCTTGAATCTGCATATGAGCAACACTGCCTCCCAGCCTGTCAGAGGCCAAGAAATCCTACATTGTATGGAGGAAGATGATTAACCCTTACATTTCCAGACTCCAAATCAGCAGCCACATTGACACAGTGATACTTGTATACAGGAGAAGCATAAGTTATTATCTGGTAAGCATGACAAGTGTTGGAAGCCTCAACAGGCAGAGTTGGGAAAGCACTGGGAGTCCCTGCACTCTGCAGAGTGCCAGTGCCCGCCTGGCTGTCCCTCTGTCTCACTCTGCTGTCTCTTGCAGAGAAGTGAGCATGGTCTCTCCAGGAGGGGGAATGAGGGCGGCTCCGGTGACTCGACCTTCATGGCACAGGAAGTTGAAAGTGGCACATGCATTGGGCTGCAATGAAAACATCACGATTAGCATGCCTGGGCGCAGGAGGCCTGGACCGGGTGGGGTTTCCATGACTGAAGACCTACCGTATCCTGCACCTCCACAGCGATGCCTCGCTGCCTCATGGCCTGTAGCACTTGGGGGTGCAGCCTCTCGGTCTTGTTTCCAGTGCCCACCACAACAATCTCTAAGGAAGGGAGACAAGGGTCACCAAGTGTTGGTTTGCAGCCCGCTGTTGAGGGTCTGAGGCAGGTGGCTACTTAGGACCCAGCGCTACCCACTCCCCCATACCTATTCTAGGCTCCAGCATCCAGAAAAGAGAGAAGCTCTCTTCGGTGATATCCCGATGGGATCCCACCTGTATGGGAGCAGAGACCGTTCAACGTGTTAAATCTACAGTCTAGCCACAGCGATACTAAACAGGCAACAAGATAAAGCTAAATTTGCTAGGAGGGAGTGGCTTTTGGCTCTCGAGTTAAATTTCACTGCAGGGTAGGGCTCACATTCCATTGGACCACCGTCTGTGGGAGCAGCGCGCAAGGGCCAAACACGCGGTTTCCGTTGATCGTGAAGCCTCTGCTATTGTAGCTGTCGATGTACACAGCCTGAGGGAACTCGTTTTGGAGCAGAGAGATGCGTGTCCGCTGATACAGCTCATCATCCGCGGGAGAGAGCCTGTGGCCCCGTCGCGGTGTCCTCCTACGGAGGGCTAAAGTCAGGGACTCGTGGCTAGGCCGTATAACTGCGAGACGTTAAGATCTAGGGCAAGGTGGTCAGGGGCGAGACAGGGGGACTCACCACAGCAGATCCACGTGCCGACAGAGACGGGAAGGTTGCGCTCGGTACAGGTGTCGAAATGCAAGAGCGGTGGCCATGGCTGCCCGGCGTGTAGTAACCGGGTCGCAGGAGTGATGGGATTGCAACGTTGTCTGTGTCAGCGCAGCCACAGCGCCCCTTGCGTCCCGGAGGGCACCGCGCAACTTGGCCGGCGGAGCGGGAGCTGCCATCTGTCTCAGTAGACTCTGTCCCCCGGTGCGGTTCCTGTGTCAGCACCTGTTGCCCACCCCGCCCCCGGCCTCCACCGACTGTCCCTGGGGGGTGGGGTAGACACCTGCTAGCTCGGGTGCCCTCCCGGTATTGTCTAGGCACAGCTGCGGCCTGTTCCTCGCGTTCTCAGCCATTATTCAGGGCTCCCGGGGCGGGGCAGCTGCGCACCTGGTCCTGTTATGAACACCTGGCCAGGGTGTGGTGCCAGCCTCCAGGCCCCTAATCCCAGGCTTTGGAGAGTCGGGCTCCGTGGGCGGGGCGGATGGCTAAGGTTTCCCCAGCTAGTCTCCAAATCGCTGCCCTCCCCAACCGTCACCCGCGCGACCGTTGGCGGCGGCGCGGCGCTCCATGAGAGGCGTGGCCGGGCGTGGATTGGCTTCCCGGGAGCGCGAGGGGGTGTGGCCAGATGGTTTCTCCTTAAAATGGCTCCAAGTCTGCGGACAGCTAGAGCCAGCGGAAGGGCACGCCGTGGCGGTGCTGGAGTGTGTGTTCGGGTGGGACTGACTGGGCCGAACCGGACCCGACGTGAAGTAGACAGCGCCGGAGCATCACCCTGTCCTGGCGCGCTCTTCCTGCGCGTACCGAGAGTCTCCCCTCCCCCTGTCTTGAGCCGAGTCTAGGGCCTACTGGTGCAAGGGTCGCTGACGGCGAGCGGCTTGGACATCTCTGCGCACCGGTTCTGCCCCGGCCTCAGGGGAACTTTGTCGCGTCCTCTGTCCGCTGGACTAGACGGGTGGGATGCTCGACACCGTCGGGGCTTTGGCTATGGGGTTCTTGCAGGGCCGGTTGCAGTGGGTTCTGGGGGAGGCTGTCCTGCCCCTGCTATGTGGGCCGGTTTGGCCCCTGGCACTTCGTGAGCTGGCAGCGTCACCGGACAAAGAGCCCCGAGCCTTGGGGTGTCCCAGAAGTGGACGCGTGGGTTTACTTCCTCTCGGGTCCCACGGGATCGCTTCCCTCTTGGCAGATTCCGAAGCCCGCCCGTCACCGTGCCAGTGGCTCCTGCTGCTTGGGGCTCGCAGGGCTAATCCTGCCCTTCTGATCTAATCCGGATCGGGACCTGGTCCCGGGGGAAGCCCCCACCTTCTCCTATTGTTCTGGGGCCCAGGTGAGCGCCTCATTCTCACTAGACTGGATTACACCACCTACTTGTCTGCCTACTGGAAAGGGATGGGCGGGTTCCGGTTTGGCCCCAGAGCGAGTGACCAGGGGCAGGAGCCCTTCTCCAACGGCTGGAGAGCGGGCAACGGAATCCCAAAAGCAGCTGTTGTCTCCAGAGCATTCCAGCTGCGCTTGGATTTCGTTCCCTGCTCTCCTGCCTGAGCAGCGCCCTGGCCCAGATGCGGTGGTCTCTACCCTCAGAACCACTGCTGGGCATTCTAATCTCCCATCTCTCAGGTGCACCCTCAGGCTGATGGTGGCCGGCAGACACGACGAAAAGAGCTCAGGCTGATGGCCCTCTCTGGAATCCCCGGAGAACACTGACGAGGGAGGTCCTGGGTCCTCTCTGTAGGGCCGCAATGGCGGTGAGTCCCACAGGGCCGCCCAGCCCGCAGCTCGCTAAAGATAGCGCTTCACTTCCTGGGGAAAAACCACCCCAACCGTCTTCATGGAGGGAGAAAGTAACTTAGATCACCAACTTGCCGGAGGGCCTCAGCCCGGCTGGCAGCCGTGCCCACAGCATGGAAAGTGCTTTGGAATGACACGATCACTCCCGTTGAGTGGGCACCCAAGAAGCCATCGGGAATGTCGTGTCCGCCCAATGCTCTTTGTGCACCTCCCAAGCAGGGCCTCAGAGCCCTGGCCCAGAGAGAGGAGCCTTGCCAAACTTTCCTTATTCCTAGATTTCACTCTTCTCCGGAGCAAAGTTCACTAGCTGGATTCATTCATTACTGTGGGCAATGGAGACTTCCGTTACATTGAAATGAAAGCGTTTGGACAGAGGAAGGGTTTCCAGCAGCGTGCTCCACATGAGATCTCTGAGTAGTTGGGTCTTTTCATGGTCACATGTAATTGTCTCAAACTGGCCAGTTATCTAAAGAACAATCAAAGGTGCCGGTGACACCAGGGAAAACATTAAAGACTGGAAATTTTGATGACTCAGGTATCAAGAGGTGCAATTGTATCAGATTGGACTTTTATTGGGAATAAAGACATCCCATAGTGCAATCAAGGAAAGTGTGCAAGTGATAGGAAGGAACTCAAGGGTTTTAGTTTTTCTTTTGTTTTTTTAAGTAGGCACTAAAGTGTCTTTAATGGAAGATGGGCGTGGTGGTGCACGACTTTAATCCCAGCACTCAGAGGCAGAGGCGGCCGATCTCTGAGCTCTAACCCAGTTTGGCCTACAAAGCTAGTTCCGGGACAACCAAGGCTGTAACACAGAGAAACCCTGTCTCGAAAAACTAAATAAATCAAGTGTCTTTAATGATACAACTTTATTCCATTACCAATTTGACATTTTAATCTTGTTTAAATGGGGCAAAAAATTGAAACATCACATAAGCACAAAGATGTGAAACTTTGATGACAAAGTTTGGTGACAAAGTGTCTAGCCTGGTGACAAAGACCCAATGCCAAATTAATAATTCAGGGTGACGATGAAAAAAACCTTAGGCGCAGAAAGGACCCCGAGATTTTGGGTCTAGGGCTCACGAATGCAGGAAAGACTGCCGGGAGGGAACGAGGGAAGCAGGGGGCTGAGGTAAGATCGCTGTGGTCCACTCAGGAGGGTCCACAGCCGGATCCCCGCCCCAGCCAGGCGGACCTCCCGGAAGCTCTACGGTTAATTTACTTCCTGTTCCGCTCACTCTTCCGGTCGTCATGGCGACAGGGCGCCTTGGCGTGGGGGAGACGCTGGAGGCCCTTAACGCCGCGGTGGGTCCTGGTAGCCCGGTGTGGTTCAAGGAGACGAACGCACGGCACCTGCGTGTCCGTGACTTCTTGGCGCCGCGAAGCGCCCTACAGGCGCGCTTCAGGGACGGGCAGGTGGGTGCCTGCTGGACGGGGATCTCCAGCCCGTGTCAGGCCCACTACGGTCCACTTACACGCCCATCTGCCCGCAGGTGCCAGAATGTGTGTTCAGTGCGGTCACCTGCCTGCAGGGTCCGGGGGTGGCCCCTGTACTGCGCTGCGCGCCAACCCCCGCGGGTTTATCGCTCCAACTCCAGCGCCCCGCTGTCTTCGAACGTGTACTCGGTGCCCTGGCCTCCTATGCTACTCCCGCCAAGCCTGCCTCGCCAGGCCCGCGAGTTGTTCTGCATTGCCCCGCACTGCGCTGCAACCCGAGCACACTCCGCCTGAGCCAGCTGCGTGCTGTGCTCGTGGCCGATCACCTAACGCGGACGCTACGAGCTCATGGGTAAGCGCGTGTTGCAGTTTGCGATGAGACAACGGAGAAGGTGGTAAGTCATGGCGATCTGGGCCTGGTTCGCAGGCTGAGACACCCACCCTTGCTTTGTAGGGTATGTGTGTGCTCAGTGCCCTCGGTGCGGGACCCGCACATGGCAACTTTCCTTCAGAAACTTCGGGTGGACTGGCCCACTACCTCGAAGAGCACCTCGGCTGAAACCCTGAGGACCTGTGTGCTTGCAGAACTTAATTCTGCTTCCAAGGAGGAGACACTGCCCCCTGGCGTCCTAGGCCGACTGTGTCTGAAGGAACTGGTAGAACAGAGACATGCAGCTGGCTATGACCCCAGCATAGACAACTGTTTGGGTAGGACAGAGGCCAAAATGGGTGGGGGGTCGCTCTGCACTGCCGAGTTCCTAGCACCTCTCTGTTTTCTGTAGTGACTGAGGATCTGCTCTCTGTGCTGTCTGAGCTGCAGGAGGCTGTGCGCCATTGGCCAGAGGGCGGCTCCCCAGGCCTGGTTAGTGGCCCTAGTCTTGACCTCTGCCCACACTGGTTTTCTGCATCTCTGTAGTAACTGTCCTGTCTCTCCTCAGGATGGGGATCCAGACTCTGGTGTAGATGGCTGCGTAGTTGTACACGTGGTGAGCTGTGAGGAGGCATTCCAGCAACAAAAATTGGATCTGCTTTGGCAAAAGCTGGATGACCAGGCTCCTCCCAAGCAGGTTGGTATCAAAGATAAACTGCCTTGAAGGTTTTTGGGAGGCCCTTGAAAACCCAAAGGGCCTGCTGGACTGCTGCAGAGGTCCTGTGACGGCGGACTGTCTGGAGGGCCTAGGCTTGGGGAGGCACTAAGACTCGTGGTACAGATTGAGAGAACCAAGCTAGAGGAGTAACCGAGGTGGGATCCTTGGCGGCTGGAGGGTAGTGCCAACTGGGCTGAGCCCTTGCCCTTTCACAGAAGCACCTGGTCTGCGGCCCAGTGAAAGTAGCTGGCGTACCTGGCACCCTGTTGACTGCCCCGGAATACTACGAGTGAGTGAGTTGGCGGCAGAGCAACCGAGGCCAAGGGCAGCTGAGATGTGGGCAGGGCTTCCGCTGAGGCCTTGCTCACTGGCTGTCTCTCCTAGGCTCAGATACACTCAGGTGTGTAAGGCCTCAGCACTGAAACATGGAGGGGACCTGGCACAAGGTATACCTGGGAGACCCTGCCTGTGCCCTCAAGTACGAGCAGGCCATTTGTACTTGTACTCCTTGTTCCCTGTCTGCAGACACTGACCGACCTGTATCTCTTACCCCCAGACCCAGCGTGGACCGAGAACTTTGATGTCCTCTCTGTGGCCACCATCAAATTTGAGATGCTGAGCACAGCTCCGCAGAGCCGGGTAAGCCAGGGTGTTTCCCAGCACCAAGACTGAGGAGGAGGGCGTAGCGCCCACGCCCTCTAAAGCTGGACTCCCTTCCCTAGCTCCTCCTGGCGGACAGCGCCATCTCCACAAAGGGTACAAAGAGTGGCACTTTTGTCATGTATAACTGTGCCCGCCTTGCCACACTCTTCGAGGGTTACAAACATGGGATGCAACAAGGCCTGTACCCTGCTTTTCCACTTGTGAGCAGCCTGGACTTCTCACTGCTCCACGATGAGGTGAGTGTTCCTCCTGAGAAACAGCCACAAGCACAAGGCTTGGACTGGTCCTCCCGGCACCCTTGTCTCCCACAGGGAGAGTGGCTGCTGCTTTTCAACAGTGTCCTTCCCTTCCCGGACCTGCTGAGCCAGACTGTGAGCCTGGCCAGCACCCCAGGGCTCCACATCACTGTCCGCACGGAAATGGTGAGACACGGACACGCAGACACTACACACTAGTCTTTATTCTGGATTGTGACACAAGAACGGAGACAACAGCTCAGTGATTCAACCTCTGTCTCTAGGTGTGCAAGTTCCTGGTGCAGCTCAGCATGGATTTCAGCTCATACTATAACCGAGTACACATTCTAGGGGTGAGCACACAGCAAAAGGGTGTCTGGGGGACTTGGGGACACAGGATAAAGACAGGGAAACAAGAGGATGAGCCTGGTTCCTTTTCTTTCAGGAACCTCGGCCACACCTCTTTGGTCAGATGTTTGCCCGCCTACAGCTTCTGAGGGCGGTACGTGAGGTGTTCCACACAGGCTTGGCTATGCTGGGCCTCCCTCCACTGAGCCACATCTAAGGGCTCAATAGCTGGGAATGGTTACAAAATCAACTGGAAAAAAAACACCTCACAGATGTTGGCCACTTAAAGCCAAAATAAATAGTTGTATCCCACTGAGGAGTGAGGCATATTCTTGGTCCGCCTATGCGGCACCCTACTGATGTGTTCCAAGTCAATATGGCTCTGCCCCATTCCTCCAAGCACACTGAGCATAGGCACAGACAGCAGATACCTGCTCCACCGTCCACAGGCAGCCCATGTTCAGTTCTCCAACCACTGACAACTCAGTCATACCAGTTGTAAACCTCAAGTCCTTGGCCCCCAAGAGCACAGCGGTGCCCAAACTCAGGGCTCACAGGCCAGCAGTCCATGTCAGCAACATCTGGCACATGGTACACAGTGCTGTTCATGAAGGTAGGCTCACCGCGCCCCAGCCGCCAAAAGGTCAGCCGTTGGTCTATGGAGGCTGAGACCATGAGGCTAGGACTTAAGATCTTGAGGCCTGTCACATGGGCAGCGTGTGCACAGGGGACAGAGTATTCCTCTAGGACACACAGCTGGGGCACCAGCTGCTCAGCCTCTCCATCGGCCTCCTGCGCCTCCGGCATCTTCACGGCAAGGATGAAGACGTGGAGGGACCCATCCTCACTGCCACTGGCCACAAGATGGTGGCCCTCGGGTGTAGGCAGGGTGTGCAGGCTGTTGACACCACAGCTGTGGGCCTGGACGGTCAAGCAGGGAGAGCCCAGCTCTGGAGGGAGAGAGTGGATATTAGGTCCTGCCTAGTCCATCTTGTGTGACGGGTAGTGGCGGCTGACCCAGTACTTACGGTAGGGAAGCCCAGGGTGTGCTGGAGACCCCAGGGTAGTGGAGCCGCGGTCCATTGCAGTGGTGAGATCCCAGAAGGCCAGGGTGCCGTCCGTAGCTGCACTGCACAGGATCAGCCTCCTGTGCCAGAGAGGGCAGCCGGGTCAGTGAAAGGGTGGGAAAACAACAGGAGCCCTTAACCAATCACAGAGGACTGTCTCACCGCCGCTGGTTGGGGGCCTCGTGTGTGAAGGAGTGGACTTTGAGAACACACCGCTTATGGTGGAAAGTCTCAGCAAGCAGGTGCAGAATTCGCCCAGAGTCCTGCAAGAGAAAAAGCCTGGGGGCGGGGGAGGGGGGTCATCTCAGAACCCATCCTGCAGAGCTCACACCCTGTCTCCTCATCCACTGGCCCCAAGTGCTCACCTCACCGCTCCATCACTACAGGCCGCAGCCACAAGGGGGCCATAGCCAGGCTTGTCGGAGTCAAACTCACAAATAGCGAGAGACATGTACCTGCAAGGAGACGCAGCTGTCAGGTGGAGCCCCAGGCCGGGAGACACCTGCCTGTAGCTTCCCTACAACGACCCCACTCCATGCCCACGACGGAGAGCGCGTTACCTGGTCTCGGGGTCCACCTTGACCATCCGATGCCGGTTGCGCTGCCGGCCCCAGTACTCATCTAGGCGGTGGGATGAAAGGTGCATGACGTGGCAGGCGAGGCGGCTAGGGGCACTGGCGTCCGGCGTGACCATGAGGCTGAAGCAGTGCATCTCGGCTCGGCCCCCTGCAGATACTACCTGAGCAGTGAGGCCTGGTCGAGGGTCCTGTGGGCCACCCGGGGAACCAATGCCCCACACCGCCAGAGCTCGCACTGAAGAGATATGGTTACAGACAGCTGTGAGCGCGTGGGCTGAGCCCGTGGTTGTGGGAAGTGCGAGGACACAAACTGTGGTGTCCTCGCTGCATGTAAGCACGATGTCAATCAGACCAGGCCCCTCACTGCCAGGCTCCAGGTAGTCAGGAAGTTCCAAGCTGGGTACCTCAAATTCAGGGCCCAGGGTTACAGTGCCTACACGCTTTACACATGTGATTTCACGGCCATGCAGACCCTCTCGGAGAATCACGTTTGGCCGAGTGCAGCCACCTAGAGCCCGATAGAGCATGACATCACCATCCTTAAGGTAGGCAAAGGCCATGGCTGCCTCGGTGTCAGAAAAGGCCCAGGAGCGGTGTCCTCCACCACAGTTGACGATATGCAGTTTCTCATGGGACCGGGGGCTCCACACTATAAACTCATTGGCATGGAAACCCAAGATGACCATGCTTCCATCAGGCACCATGCGAAGCCCAGCTATCCAGTTCATGCCTCGACAGGACTTCTGCCTTAGGACCGGCTGGAGCTGGCCACCATGTACAAAGAGCTGGTAGTAGGAGCCATCACGCCCTGTGCTGTATACATAACCACCGTGACAGGTAACTGATGTTACACCCTGTTTCCCATGCAGAGAATGAAGGGCAGACACTGGGCCTAACCCTGTTGCAACATTCTCAGACGCACCGCTGCCACCACCAGCCGCAGGTGCCTCAGCTTCAGTAATGGCCTTGCTTCCAACCCCAGGACTTTTGAACAGACTTGGTCGGGCAGGGAAGAGCAGCACAGAGCCACGGCGGTCTCCACAGACCAGGAAGTCACCTGGGGGCAGGAAGGCACTACATGTGTGCCATCTCTGCTTGCTTGGGGGAAGCAGGTACCTGCAACGTTCCTTGACAAAGATGGCCTTGCCAGTGGGTGCAGCTGAGATCTCCAAGCAGGCTACTACTCCACCAGGGCCTGATGCCAACAGCAGAAGCTCCTCATAGCCTCGGAGGGCCCAGCTCAGGCTGTGCACCTTCCCGCTGAACAGGTTCTGGTCCACAGCAGCAGTAGGAGTGTTGATGGGGACAACCTTGACAAGACCCTCTCCATTGGCCAAGGCACAGAGTCCAAAGCCTTCAGGGCCAGGAGCTGCTTCCAGCAGAGAGTAAGACTGAAAGCGATTGTCCTCCAGCAGCTGCTCCCAGCATTTGACCTCCATGTCATAGAGGTACAGGGCCCCTGCATCAGTCACTGCCAGTACTCTCCAAGATCCAGCCAGAGTCACAGCCTTGAGGGCACCTGGCCGGCTAGGAGACTTGAAGCACAGAGCTGAGACGCCCAAGCCTTGGTACCCACGACCTACCAGGTGCCAGAGCCGAATGCCTGAGTCATCACCCCCAGTGATCACCCAGGCTTGTCTCTCATGAGCAGCGATGGCCCGGATACCTCGACCCTGGTGACCCCGAAAGGCTTGGAGGATCTCACCTTCATGGCTCCACACCAAGCAGACACAGTCCTCTCCTGCACTAATGAGATAATTCTCTAAGAGTTTCACCTGCCACACACGGGCACTGTGTCCAAAGCAGTGACCAATATTCTGTACCCGACCCCCAGGCACCCGGAGGTCGCCCACCTTCCAGATACGGACACTTCGATCTTCTGAAGCAGTTGCCAGCAGGCCCTTGCTTTCCAGGTATGACATGCTGAAGATGACACCCACGTGTCCACTAACCCGCCGGTCAGGTGCCACAGGTTTGTTGTCTGTTAAAGCAGTTGCTGGATACCAGACCAGGAGCTGATTGGAAACCGCACCTGCCACTATGGTCAGTTCCTTCCAAGTGTCTCCAATCAGGCAGGCTGAGGACAGGGTGCACCTGTCTGTGCAGGGCACGTCCTGCAGCATGCACCCTATCACAGGGTCATACAGCACCACTGAGTTGTGGCCCAAGGCCAAGGCTACATTGCCTTCAAGCCAGCGTACATCCCAGATCCAGTCGGACATGTTCCACAGGCCAGAGCGCCAGAGCTCTCGAAGATGGCTTTGACCCCAGCTAATTTTGACAATTCTGAGTCCCTTACTCCCAAACACAGCTACCATGGCCTCAGAGTCAAGGTCTCCTTTGGGCTCTGGTCGCACTCGGAAACCATGGATAAGAAAGTGGCCCAGCAGGTTCTGTACTCGCTTCACCATCCGGAGATGCCCACCAAAGTCCAAGTTGTACACCAGTAAGTCCGGCCCCTCACCTAGACAGAGGTAGAAAGCCATGTCAGAACCACTCCCCCTAACGCTGTGGTCCGTGACAAGAAGGGAGCACAACACTTCTTAACATATAACCTAATGGCCGGGCATTGGTGGTGCACGCCTTTATCCCCAGCACTCGGGAGGCAGAGGCAGGCGGATCTCTGTGAGTTCGAGGCCAGCCTGGTCTACAGAGCGAGTTCCAGGACAGCCTCCAAAGCCATAGAGAAACCCTGTCTTGAAAAACCAAAAAAACAAAAACAAAAACAAAAAAAAAAAAACATATAACCTAATGTATCAGGACACAAAATCCTACTAAGCCTAGGAAGTCCTTGCCTCAGCTTCAACTAGACTTCCATCTCACACATGTGTGCTTCTCAGTCCTTTGTTTTTGTGGTGAGGTTCTCCCACACAGCCCAGGTTGACTCTGAATTCTAAATCTCCTTGCCTTGGCCGGGATCCCAGCAGGGTGCCATTGTGCCTGGCCACCAGTCAACCTTTATGTATACTCACTGGGGATTCTCCCAGGCGCGCATCATTCTTACGCTTCAGATGGGAAAGCCTCCTCTGCTCTATTCCCCAAATTCTCAGCTTCGCCTGTCTCTACATGCATCCTTCCTGACTCTCCCTCAGGGAAAGGGCTATGTCAACCTTTCCACACTTTAAGTCTCTAACCAGCAAGTCGATAACCCCGTGCACATCCAGAGGAAACGGCAGGAGTGGGAGCAGGAGCATACCCACACCTCCCAGGCCGGGGCTAGGCTTGAGCTCTGACCTCACCACGGGACAGCTGTGGGCCCTCGTATGAGACTGAGGCTTAGAAGGCCTCAACAGCACCAGACAGCAACAAGAACCCTGGAAGGTAGAGGTGAGGCACTGGTAGCAGGTCTCTAGACGGCTCAGCAGTTCAGAGCACTGCTCTTCTGGAGGACTTGAGTTCAGTTCCCAGCACAACTGTCTGCAACTCCAAAATCTGACAGCATCTTCTGTGTTACCACACCTAGCTTATGCTCAGAGGCTTGTCCAGTGTGTCCCTCCACACAAACTCACACTTCCTGGGCAATCTCCTACTCCCCACACGTGGATAGAACCCACAGACGCAGACCAACAGACATTCCCAGAAATGGATGGCAGCTTCCTTCTGGCCATGCTGCAGCCATCTGCCACTAACCCAGCCTCCCCAAGTCATTTCAGTCCCTCACCCCAAC